CAGCTACCGTTTCGCGACTGTATCATTACGTATATATTAGAACGAGAGTATAGACTTTTGAAAAATGTTGACATAGATTTTACCATGGATTCTACAGATTTCTGGAAAACAGAAAAAGAGGATACGATTCTGAGACGTTTCCCGGCAAGTTTGTTAAGTCAACAGTTATTTTACCCCACAGCAGTGCATGTGTGGAAAAAGTGTTCAGTAGTAGAAATCTAACTTAGGAATAAACTCGGTGAAACAACATTAAGTGACATATTGAAAACTAAAATACCCATTAAGTCAAACAGCTGCTACAACTTTGATGAGATGTCGGAAATAAATTGATTTAGTGAGTACTGTTAACTGTACGTATAGACTTTTTTCGATATCGCTTGTTATTTTCGAAAAAATGTAATGTTTAATTGGATCGTTTGTTTTTAGAATTATTATGAAACTGTTATATGGGTTATTCTTAGTTTCTATATACTCGTATATATTAGTTGGTTATTAATTTACTTATAGTACTTTACATCACAATGGAAAATAAAAATTTGTTTTGGTAAAAAATATAGGATTTTTGATAATAATTTTGATCTGGGAATTAAACAGTAGCGCAAAATCATACAAAACAACAGGAAAAATGTATTCAAATTGTATCTTAGATAGATGCAATAAAATAAAATTTTACTGCCTGCGCCACAGTAACAGGAAATTTATAGTCAATTGTGTTTTATTAAACAATTCAATTATTAAGTTGTATACAAACATTACAATTCATTTTTTATTTGCAGTCGTTTACAACTAGTAATACAGCTTAAAAAATTAACTTTTAAAATCGCTGGCGATTTATTTTAATCTGGTGATTTTTCATTCCAATTTCGAGTGAATTTTATTTTTTTGTCCTGAAACCACTGGCATAGAAAGTAAAAGATTTACTTTGAAAAGGTTAGTCCCATAGATGTCACTGTATTCAATAACGGTGAAAGATCTCGACGCCTCCTCTTCCGAATACAGGATCAATTCCATTTTACACCTCCCCCAATTCATCAAATCGAAACACTATTAATGCTTCTATTACCAAGCCAGGGACCACGTTATCTACCTGTCAGGTGACTCCGTCAGCCGATCTTACTTCTCCTCCGTCATCTCGTCCAACCGTCGTGGCATCAACCCAACCCTCACGACAAGGGCGCATAACCCCGTTCGTCTTACGCGACGGGACGAGATGGCGTACCTTAAATTTCAAGTTTATTTCCCTAGGTATTAAAATAGATCGCGCGGTTGCCGTCGATGCGGGAATAAGGATTATTCCTAAATCCGAGGACGACTACCGTAAGATCGTTCGCCTATTCCGAGAGGAAGAAGTGCCCCATCACACTTTTCCTCTCCCTTCGGAACGGAACATCCATGCGGTGGTTCGAGGAGTTCCCGTCAACTTTTCCGATACTGAGATTAAGGGAGAACTGGAGCAGAGGGGATATAGCCCTCTTCACATCATTCGATTGAAGCGCAGCGGCGGCGCGCCCATGCCTTTGGTGGTCGTGATACTGCCCAAGACTGAAAAGTCTCAGCAAGTGTTCAACGAACACGAACTGCTGGGACTGGCCATTCGAGTTGAGGTTCAGAAGAACTCCAGACTCATTGGGCAGTGTCACCGCTGCCAAAAGTATGGGCATGCGCAGTCATATTGCACTGCACCGCCCAAATGCTTAAAATGTGCAAAGGACCACATGACGCATTTGTGCCCCCTCACAGAAGAGGAAGAACGCAAGTGCGCGAACTGTGGAGAGGGACATCCCGCAAATAGCCGGACTTGCAAGTTCACTCCAAGGAGGAACTTGCAAGTTATAGCGCAAAGGCGCAATATATCATACGCGGACGCAGCTCGGGAGGCAACCTTGCCTGCCCCCTCTGCCCAACCTCCCTTGAGCACGAAAGTGTGGACCTGGCAACCGCGCTAAGGTCCTTACAACAAATAATAAGCCCACTGATTAGCGCTACCCAAGCGTTGCAGGCGATATTTCCTGTAAATGTTTAGGTACAATAGTACAATAGTACAAAATTCTTTTTTGGAATTGTTTGGGCATGAGGGATATTCCCAAAAAACAGGAATTTCATCAAGCTCTTTTGGATGTGGCCTTGCTGCAGGAAACGTTGCTTAATCCGGGAGATCGTTTAGCTCTCCCGAATTATGATGTTATCCGAGGTGACAGATTGAATGGTCGAGGCGGCGGTTTAGCAGTGTTGATTAAACGCGGTATAGACTATTATAGAAGCACTAATGCGGAGATGCATAGCATCGAAGCAGCCTCTGTGGTGGTCAATATGACGGGAGGTGTCTCGTTGAAGATCACATCGGTGTATGTCAGGTGTGGTGCCAGGCTACAAAAGGCGGATCTGGAGGTCCTTTTGGACTACTCGGGTCCGCTTATTGTGGCAGGGGACTTCAACTGCAAACATCGAGCATGGAATTCTAGGTTGAATTCCACTAGTGGGGTTCGATTGTACAACCATGTGATGCGAAATGGGTACCTTATACATAGCACTGAAGAGCCGACACATCATCCATTCAACCATCTTCAGGCACCAGATGACATCGATTTCGCGATATCGAAAAACTGTAGATACAGTATCTCTTCTCGAATCTTGTATGATATCTCTAGTGACCATCTACCTGTTGTCTTGGATGTGGGCAATGAGCAAACTTCTGAGGAGGCAGCTCCTCCAAGGGAACGCATTGATTGGGACCTATACAAGTTGCTCTTTAGAGAGTTTCCCAATATCCCGATTATAGATGATGAGTCTGGAATAGATGCCGCTCAAGCGGAATGGACAAGTTTCATTCAAGCAGCTCTACAGCGTGCAGCTGTATTTCCTGTACAACGACACGGCAGACCTTTTTTGCCTGCGGACATTCGTCAGAAAATCTCTGACAAAAGAGCCGCTATTAAGCAGGCAAAAAGGTCTTGTCATCCTGATGACATTCGTAGGGCTACAAATCTTGTCCATGAAGTGAGAAACGCACTGCACGAACTCCGCAACGAGCAATGGAGCGACTTTCTGGCGGGAATGCTTGATTCAAGTATTCCTCTCTGGAGGGTCGCTAAGTCACTCAGAAACGGAAAGCGAGAAAAACTCCCACACATCCACGGTCCTGAAGGCATAGTCTTCAGAACGGAGGATAAGGTCGAGGTTTTCGCTGATGCCATGGAAAAACAGTTCTCTCCCAACTATGATCTCGATAATGACCTCGACGAGGAACAGCACATCGTACGATCCGTCAGGAGATATTTTAGGGTCAACGGCGTTAGCGGAGGCACTGAATCCTCTTCAGATGACTCTTCTTCAGAAGATTCGTCTGAGGCTCCACATAGCACATTAGCGGAACCCTCCGAGTTTCCACATTGCACACCAGCGGAGTTACTAAGTCATATTAAAGACCTCAAGGTGCGTAAAGCACCTGGGGAGGATCAAATCACCAACAAGGCGTTGAAGCTGCTCTCGCCGAAAGCCCTGACATACTTGGTGACAATAATCAATGCGACGCTCAAAATCCAGTACTTCCCTGCTGGGTGGAAGACTGCTGATGATTCCAAAGAAGGTGGGTTTGATATTTCCTCAGGATTACCGTCCCATAAGTCTGCTGTCAGCTCCTTCTAAGCTCGCCGAAAAGGTGATTTATCGTCACCTTGAGAATTTTTCGTCAAATCACCATGTGATTCCTGACGTCCAATTCGGTTTTCGGTCCGAGCATAGCACCGAGCTACAGGCAGTCAGGCTGGTGGAGCATGTAACCAGAGGGTTCACCCTTAGCAAGAGTACTGGCATCTTGCTTTTGGATGTCTCAAAAGCCTTTGACAAGGTGTGGCACGCGGGCCTCCTCTATAAACTAATCCAAAAGGGTTTTCCTTTTTGGTTTCTAAAATTACTGAAATCCTTTCTTGAAGGAAGGAAGTTTCGGATCAAAATTAACAATGTTTTGTCAACAACACGGCGAGTACGGGCCGGTGTTCCTCAGGGTTCGGTCCTAGGACCAATTCTTTATTCGCTTTTCATCCATGATGTCCCTTCCCCCAGCAACTGTGAAGTCTACCTCTATGCTGACGACACTGCACTTGTCGCCCAGTCGTGTACTGGTGATCTGGTTCACGATGGGTTGCAGAATGCGGTGGACGAAGTTCTAGAGTGGGCGGAACGGTGGCTGATAAAAATTAATCATTCGAAAACGCAGGCTATTTATTGTACCAAAAAACGTCGCGGCCCCCCAGCAGAGGTGTCTGTAGACGGAAATCGAGTACCATGGACAAATTCTGCCAGGTATCTCGGTGTCACCCTTGATAAAGGCATGACCTGGCAGAAACATACAGCATCCATAAAAACAAAATTCCAAATCGCGTTTCGGCAACTATATCCTTTGTTATGTAGATCCTCCAAATTGAGTTTGATAAACAAAGTTCGACTATATAAAATGATTATTAGACCAGCCATTACTTATGCATGTGCGGCTTGGTGTTTTCTTGCCAAGACACACATGCAAAGTCTTCAAGTACTGCAAAGCAGAACTTTGCGGACAATTTGCAACGTTCCATGGTATGTCTCATATGAGACACTACACAGAGACCTTGACATTCCTTACTTGAGGGATTATGTCAAGCTTCAGGCGCGGCGACGTTATAGTCAAGCGGAATCGCACAGCAACACTCTGTTGCGTGACTCAGTGGACTACACAGTGGAGCAAGTTCGTAAACATTCAAGGCCACGGCTCGCACTGTAATCAAAAGTGAATCTTTAGTAAACTCAAAATTACACTCTAACAAAACCGAATCAAAAATTTGTTTAGGTCACCTCAAAATTAATCCGTGTACCAAGTCAAAAAGCCTAGGTGTTTCCTCTTAAACTAAGCATATCTGTTTTTCTTTGTTCTTCTCCTTTTTTCTTCTCTTTCCCTTTCTCTTTTTCCTTGACTTTGTCTGGTTTCTGGGCAACCAGGACTGACAGATTCGACTAACGTACATCAGACAGTGACTAATGGGCAAAGGTCTTACGGACCGCCCAGACAAATAAATGACGAATAGTTAAGATCTGGACGCAACAAACTTCTGACAATACTTGAAGGTTACGTTACAATTTTCCGCACTGTCAAAAATATTTCAAACTGAAATTGACTGTACCATTTTTTGTTCGCGTTCAACCAAATCAAAATTCACGATGGACGAGGACGCCCAATCAGACTACACTGGAGACGAGCAAGATCAAGAGGCAGCCGTCAGACGCAGAATCAACAAAGACACAAGGAGACGCCAGAAACCTGGAACCAAATGCAGGACGCGGATAGACGTTTTGGCTACTCCGAACAGAAGACTCATATTGGCGCTTTACCAGAATCATGCTCATCATTTTCCCAAAGAGAGAGTGGAAAAGCTCAAAGAGATGCTTCAGCAGTTGTATGCAATGACGCCAGAAGAAACCGAGAGGTATTTTGCGGAGATGGAAGCTGTGACTGCAAGGATTATGCTTAGGAAACGTATTAAAGATATGATGAGGAAGAGGTTGAGGAATCTCAAGAAAAGAGAACAACAGGTCAGTAAATCTGAAATTAACACTCCATGAATTAATCGCTACTTCGGCAGCGGGTTAGCAAGTGTACTATGTAAAAAAACCTATAAAACGTCAAAAAAACCTATAAATTGTCATCTTCAGACTAGATAGTTTTTTATGGTGCAAGCACTCATTCCTCGTTTGCTCACTAGTATCGTCGTGAGCGTCCATCTATCGAGGAATAGCTCAACTACACGCATTGTTGGTTGCATAATATGTGGAGCCGAGTAGTCTATAGTTTCCATCTCTGAGAAGAAAGTTGGTTGAATAGCAAGATCGCATCTGGATGATTCTGCGTATTGTATGTTGTCCTTTCTGACGACAGACCATGTTCAAAGTTATAAATTACGATTTTTTACGTTTTTTTCGTATTTTCAAAAACTTTGTTGTGTGTAATTACTGGTAGCGTGTAATTCGTCACTGTACAACGAATATAATTCTTATCTCTTTCATTTTTGAAATTTGCATATGTAAATTCCAGAATGGATAAGAAATAGTGGATGCGTGGAACTAATTTATAGCTTTGAGTCTCAAGTAAGTGTATTTGAGACAAGAATCCAAAGGAACTATCATTAACACTCATTACACTGATCAACAGCCAAAAAATATCCTAAATAAAATCAACAAAATATTACTATTTTTATTGTACTAAAACCGGAATGAATCTTATTTTTTCAATATTAGTTCAAGTTTTAGAGATACGGTAATTATATGTGTTCCTGCTGTGACAGTGTTAATATACTGTAATTCACAAGAATGCACGTGCTACATTTTTATATTCGGCAAGGAAAGATGATGTAATCGGCATGATTGTGTTACGTTATACATACGTGTACATTATATTGTTTTATATTAGCCATTTTTTCCTCAGTTGGCCGACAGCGTTCATGCAAGATGTCTCGAAAGTGTGTAAACATCCAGATCAGTTTTGTTACGAGTGTGGTGATGTGACTTTTGCGTCTCAGAGACGATCTATTACTCCACTAATAACAAAGGCATATCAGCTTTATTTCGGTTGTAAACTAGGTGAGCTAGACAAACAGTGGGCACCCCACATCTGCTGTAATACACGTGCTTCAAGTCTGAGGAGCTGGTTAAATGGCAAAAAACGGTCTATGCGCTTTGCTGCCCCAATGGTTTGGAGAGAGCCTACAAATCATATTAATGATTGTTACTTTTGCATGGTACCTTGTGTTGGACAAGCCACAGGTATGTCCAAGAAAAAAAAATCGGTTATTAACTACCCAAACATACCATCTGCGATGAGACCTGTACCTCACAGTGACGAAAATCCTATTCCAAAACCCCCAGAATCCTACACTTGCGAATCAGAAAACGAATCAGATCATAGCGATCGAGTGATTCGTCAGGAAGAAGATATGCCATCAACGTCAAGAGATCCTGATTTTATACCGAGCACGTCATGCCACCAACCGCACAAAATAACACAGTCAGAATTAAATGATCTTGTAAGAGGTTTAGAACTTCCAAAATCTAAGGCAGAGTTACTTGGATCAAGACTGCAGCAGTGGAACTTGTTTGAAGACGATGTTTCGGTATGTGTTTTTCGTAAACGCCACAAAGACTTAGAACCATTTTTCAATATGGAGAATAACTTGGTTTTCTGCAGTAACTTTACCGGCTTACTGGCGGCTTTAAATATAAACTATAACCCAGAAGAATGGAGATTGTTTATAGACAGTTCAACATTGAGTTTAAAGGCAGCGTTATTGCATATTGGAAATATTTTACCATCTCTTCCTGTAGGGTATGCAGTTCACATGAAAGAATCATATGACAATATGAAGTACCTATTGACATGCATAAAATACGATGAGCACCAATGGCATATTTGTGGCGATTTGAAAGTTGTTGCACTTTTACTTGGGCTGCAGCTAGGCTACACAAAGTTTTGCTGTTTTTTGTGTGAATGGGACAGTCGGGCAAAGGCACTTCATTACACCAGAGAAAACTGACCTGTTCGTCAATTCCTAGAGCCAGGTCAAAAAAATGTACAGCATATGCCATTAGTAGATTCGAAAAAAAATTTATTACCACCACTGCATATCAAGTTGGGCCTAATGAAAAACTTTGTCAAGGCATTAGATAGAGATGGGTCAGCTTTTCAATACCTGCGTCAGAAATTTCCAAGACTAAGTGAGGCAAAGGTTAAAGAAGGTATTTTTGTTGGGCCACAGATTCGAAATATTTTGAAAGATACACAGTTTGAAAACACTTTAACAGGTATTGAAAAAACTGCTTGGAATGATTTCCGTCTGGTGGTCACTAATTTCTTGGGAAATAGAAAAGCTGACAACTATAAAACCCTTGTCAAAAATATGCTGTCATCGTATCAAAAGATGGGCTGTAATATGTCTCTTAAGATACATTTCCTACACTCACACCTGGACTTTTTTCCTGACAATTGCGAAGCCGTAAGTGATGAGCACGGCGAACGTTTTCATCAGGATATTTCAACAATGGAATAAAGGTACCAGGGAAAGTGGAATCCTTCCATGCTTGCAGACTACTGTTGGACTCTTGGTAGAGATGCTCCAGAAACGATCCATAAAAGAACAACAAAAAGACAGCGCATATAGTGATTCTTATAAGTATATGAATCTTGTTACTTTTTTTAATATATCCTTAAAAATAAAAAGTTTTTTTTTCTAAACCGCAACTAATTTTTTTATTTCATTGTCATTTTTGGATTCAGCGCCCCAAAATTAACAAAGAAGTGCACTTTTCCCACAAGATACAATTAAAAAACTAAAATTTGTTGTCCAGTGTAACTGAAGCCTGATGACGTTCTAGCAACACGTACATCTACAAAACGAGTTCACAACGTATCCATCAGCTAGTGCTGAACTAACATCTTGTGAATAAACCTACATAATGTCACAAAAAAACAATATAATGTCAAAAAAATCGACATATTGTCACTTCTCAAGCTACGTAATACCCGTGCTTGGCACCAAGGGTCGTGAAAGAACGTCTTTTGAGAGAGTGACATAGAAATAGAGCACTGATGTAGCCACCGCCATCCCCTCCCCAGATTTTCTATTTTCAAACGCCAAGCATTTGTCTTGACCCACCCCACAAAACGTCTCTCTCGGTCCGCCCCTGGGCCCTTTGATACAATTTGTTCATCACCCCATCTAAGTAGGCGACAGGTTAAGCTTTAAGGAATAATTTCCTAAATCAATAACATAATTGTAGATGTTCTTTTTATGTAATTTTTTAACATTTGGAGTGATCGACGCTACGTGTCTACTAATCAGTCTCCCTGAGCTGCGCGGGTTCGAATCCCGTCCCAAGAGAATTTTCCTCTTGGATATGACTTGTTATTGTCCGCAGGTAGTCTGAACGTGTAGGTACCACCTGGCGGCCACTAGGCGGTTATAATAGCACGGTTTCTCGTGATGTATATCTTAAATAACAATATCTCAATTGCGCAATCTCGTTTTGCAATAGGAAGTGAAAGTTCTGACGACTCTATCTTTTACAGGCCAAAGCGATGATGTTCATCCAAAAGCTAATAAAGAAAGGCATGCTATTTGCCTTCAACCATCCCGTACCGCCTCTTGTCTCAATAAGATTGAGGAACCTCTCAGACATAGTATTGGAGCAGATCTGTGACCTGAGGAATACTGACATCCCAGACCGCGAAGATCCAGACCAAATTGGACTCTTCCTCATCGCTGTATCGGACTGGATAGCGATCTTCATCGAGCATGTGTACTATATCGTCCAGCTCAAGAAAAACAGAGAATTGGAAGAGATAGAAAAGAATAGAGCTGATAGTGTCAAAGAATCAACTCCGGGGTCTCCTATGAATACTGAAGCTGTGATCGTAAATGAGCTGGGAGATGAAGAAGAAGAAGGTCAAGAAGTTCCTGTTGGAATTGCTGACTTGGATCAGGATGTTGAGTAGTCTCGTGGCCACGTCTTTGTCTATATTTTTGTTAGAATCAAAAGAGTAAAAATGTTTGGCATTGTTTCACGAGTTTCGTGGGGTTTGAGGCTTCCTTGGAAATAATGAATCTCTCCTTGGAAACAGTGAAGCAACGACGCTTCCTTGAGGAATATTCAAGGGAGGATTTATATTTCATTTTACAGTACCCTTACGGTTGTCATCACAAGTTGTCATCAATGTCAGAAAGATTTTTCTTTGCTCAATATATCAATAAACAATGCAAAATAATAATGTATAATGCTATAATTACAGAGTAATCACAGAAAAGTAAAAAACTGAATCTAGGCAACGTGTTGCACCCAACTGCTTGCTCTATGTTTATTTTCAATGCTCCATTTGAGCTTCCTTCTTTATTTATAATAGTACGAAATTTGGAGATAAAATATGTCCTTTTTGTGAAATACTGTAGTATTTGAATCTGACAGACGCAATCTACAATCCGCAACGAGCAGAGCAGTTCAGCGCGACTGGTTGCCTATATTCAGTTTTTTTACTTCTCTGTGATTGTGCGGTAATTCCATGAATCAAACACATACTATTTTTTTATTAAACTAAATCGTCTTAATTTTAACGTGAACATGATAAATATACTAAGTGACATATAAATCGGAACACCCAGCTTAAATGGTATTATTTTAATAAACGTTGGTGACTGTGTTTATCTTACTGTAAATAACAAGTGAAAAAATTTTCAGCCTTATCAGTTGGACATTCCGGTTTTTATACTGCTTTTTTTTAATTCATTAACGCTCTAAAAATGAATATTTCAGCCGCAGTAAAGAATCAACGTTGGCGGATTTTGGTTCTTGACATCCTTTACGATCGGTTACGATGCCTAGAGCACGAAGACCTGTACGATTTCGTCAACTTAGTGAGTTTGATAGGGGCCGTATAGTGGGACTTCGGGAAGCTGGACTCTCTTTTCGGGCAATTGCAGTTAGAGTGCAAAGAAGTGTAGACACTGTGATTAGGTGTTGTCAGGCATGGCTTCGAGAAGGCCGTACGCAAAGAGCAAGGGGCACTGGACGCCGCCGTAGAACAACAGACCGTGAAGATCGCCGCCTAAGATTATTGGCCTTAAGGGACCGTTTCTCCACTACCAGGTCCATTGCAAATGAATGGTTTGCAGAACACGGAAGACCTATTGGCATGCGAAGTGTTTACCGACGAATGAGAAGTTTTGGCTTGTTTTCATACCGGCCACACTGGGTCCTCCCTTTAACTCGAGAACACCGACGTAATCGCCTTGAGTGGTGCAGACAACGGTCACTCTGGGATCAGGAATGGAACAGTATTGTCTTTAGTGACGAGTCTCGATTTTGTTTAGGTATGCACGATGGTCGTGCCAGGGTTAGAAGGTGACGTGGTGAAAGGAGGAATCCACAGTTTTTTGTTGAAAGACATGTTCATCACACTGTTGGAGTTATGGTTTGGGGTGCTATAGCTGGTCACCTTTAATCTTCATCAGAGGTAACATGAACGCGCAGCGTTATATCCACGAAGTTCTAGAACCCCATCTTTTACCCTATCTTGACACCCTGGCAGATCCAACAAGATAATGCCCGACCACATGTTGCAAGAGTCACAATAGACTTCTTTCAACATACTGATGTCACATTGTTACCATGGCCACCAAGATCTCCCGACTTATCCCCAATTGAGCACGTGTGGGATATGATGGGTAGGAGATTGCTCAATTTGCAACGTCCTCCTCAGACTCTAGAAGCACTTCGAGAGGAGTTGGTGGTTGCCTGGAATGAGATACCACAGGAGGACATTGACCACCTGATCAGAAGCATGCCTAGGCGCGTTGGAGAATGCGTAGCACATCAGGGTGCATCCACACATTATTAAAGGTCAAAGGGCTTTAAAGCAGTGCAATCATTTTGAAATTTTTATCATTTACTTATTATGCTTCATTAAGTACTTATACAAAATTTTATTAAAATAAAACCATTTAAACTGGGTGTTCGGATTTATATGTCACTTAGTATAGATACGGTCAGCAAAGAAAAATCTTCGAAGACAGCTTGTGATGACAACTTAAACAGGTAGCATATTATATCGAAGCAATAAAAGAATACAAAGGAGTATTTATTCGTCAGACTCACCATAAAGTGGGCCTTAGATGGGTTGTAGCGTTCACCGAGGGCTGATGGAGTTCCTTTGGCTAAATTAGCAACAATTTTTACTCTAGTTTCCTCATCTACGTCCTCGTCAAACAGAGATATGAATGAATGAATCTTGAAATTAGAGGCATTCCGGCCACCATAAGGAGCCAGTGCATAGGCCGATACTCCACAATAAACTTACGGTTGAAGCGATATATAGGGGTATTACGATCACCCCTGCTTTGAAGAACAAGGTCCTCTCTTTGCAATTCGACTAATATGACAGTATGCCCCTTGACAGGATTCAAGAAAGCCCAGAGATAAGACAGAGTCCTCATATGTCAAATGCCATAAATGTTGGCAGAGCTTCTGTAAAGCTGCTTTTGAAATGGTTTTGTCAGTTCTTTCGTAAACCTTCATTGCTTTTAACACGCGTCTTTTCTGCTTTTATGGCTAATTTCTTGTCCACCCCAGCTAAGGTCGACCTGGCTCTCTGTGGCTCTGCAAAAAGATCCTATCTTCATTTGTTTTCATCGATTGAAGCGCATCAATATGCAAGTTTTGACATGTTCTAACGCAACTACTCGAGTTGCCCTGGTTCTAGGCACATAGAACTTTGTGTACCACTGTTTTGGCATTGTTCAAGAAAAATTAGAGGGTATGCATTTGAAAAAAAGAACTTTCATTATTTTGGGACACCCTATTTATTAAACGTACTTCATTCAGACTAACATCTTCCACAGACGCAATACAGATTTACTTACAATATAGCTATGCCAATGCCATACTGGTTTTCTATTTCCTCCTCGAACTGACCTTCTATATACGATAATTCCGATTTTATATAGCTGATTTAGTACCTATGTATGTCTTGAGCTTTGCATTAAAATACTTTTGCTGCGAACGAGTCTCATTTGATATATCGGTTTAATTTGTCATCCTTTATGATATTACGCTCGTATACCCATATTCAACAACAACAAAATGATTGTTGGACTTGTTGGAACGGATATCCAGACGTGGACATCGATAATTTCACTTCGACGTGTTAGGGAACATTTTCTAATTTTAGGGATCAAAGTTTTGTCACGTTTGAATCACGCCAAAGGGGAGCAACGACATGCTAGAGTTGTACGAGGGATGTCTTTTAAGTTTTGCGTATAGAAACATGGTAGGTCGCGCGGATCGAACGTCAATACTGAATCTTAACCTCACTCTTTAGTAAACTTAAATTCAAAGTTTCACAACAATACGTGCAGTGTTCTCAATACAGTGAATTTTTAGTGTCACCAAGTCATTAGAAAAATGGAACTCAACCGAGAACATTTTCGCGCCATAATTTATTACAAGTTTCAGAGACAATTATCGCAACAAGAATGCATTGCTCAGTTGCTGTCTGTTTTCGGCAACGAAGCGCCACATCAGTCGATAATTTCCCGTTGGTATGGAAAATTCAAACGTGGAAGGGTGAGTCTTAGCTACGATCCCAGGGTGGGTGCACCAAAAACTTCAGTCACCCAGGAAAACGTCGATGCTCGTGCTCAAACTCATCATTGAAGATAGACATGTGACATATCGCGAGATTGAGGCGTCCTTGAAGATCTCAAAGACCTCAATTCAAAAGAAATTTACATGAAGAATTAGGAGTAAGAAAATTAGTTTCTCGTTGGATACCCCACGTGTCGACTGAAGAGCAGAAAGCGGCCAGGGTTAATTGGTATCAAAAAACGCTTGACCGGAAACTCAAAAAATGTGTACAACATTGTTAGTGGTGATGGATCGTGGATTCACTGTTATGGACCAGAAAATAAACGACAGTCGGCTGTTTGGGTGTTCCAAGGTGAAGAAAAGCCAACAAAAGTCATCCGGTCTCGAAAAAGATGGTCGCTTCATTTGTGTCGAAAGCGGGTCATATTGCAACAATTCCTCTTAATGAGCAAATAACTGTTACTGCGGATTGGTATACCACCATTTGTTTGCCAAAAGTCATCACCGAGCTTCGAAAAATCAACCCCGAAAGAAGAATCATCCTCCACCAAGACAATGCAAGCTGCTTGCACACAGCTCATATATTCATCTATTTGGAAGTTGTCTAGGGTGACTCCTGTTTTTAAAAAAGGTGAGAGAAATTATGTAGAAAACTATAGGGCTATCACAATTGTCAGTAATTTCGCTAAAACATTCGAAATAGTGATACAAACTGTGCTATATTTTCATGTAAGCAGGTCTGTCTCCGTCAGTCAACACGGTTTCATGAAGGGCAGGTCCACAGTTACTAACTTGCTACATCTTACTCAATATGTTTGTGAATCAATCGATAGACAACTTCAAACGGATGTAATATATACTGATTTCTCTAAAGCGTTTGATAGTTTAGACCATAACATTCTACTCAATAAGTTATCTAGATTTGGTCTTTCAGATGCATTGTCGCTATTTTTCAGATCTTATTTATGTCATAGGAAACAATATGTTATGTGCAATGGACATAAGTCAAGCGAGTACCCGGTGTTCCTCAAAGATCTAATTTGGGACCTCTGTTATTTATTATGTTCATAAATGATGATATTTCTGAAGTTATCGATGTCGATTTTCTTATATATGCTGACGATATGAAACTGTTCTGTAGAGTCTCTAACATTGACGATTGTCATCGCTTGCAATGCAACATTGTAAGAGTTGACAGCTGGTGTCGTGAAAACAGACTTGTTTTGAATGCTGCTAAGTGTCACGTTTTGTCGTTTACTTTAAAAACAGGGGTAATGATGTATGAATATAGTATTGGTGACAGGAAACTTGACAGACCCAGTACAACTAATGACTTGGGAGTCACATTTGACAGAAAACTTTCCTTCTCCTATCACATTGAGAATGCTGTTGTGGCTGCATCAAAGGCGTATGGTTTTATTGTAAGAAATACCGGTGGTTTCCACAACTCCTTTACACTGAAAATACTGTACTATGCTTATGTAAGATCTAAACTTGAGTATGCATCCCTGGTATGGTATCCTCATCATCAAATATGTATTGACCGCTTAGAGTCCGTAAAAAGAAAGTTTTTAAAATACCTCT